ATGGATGATGGTACGAATGTCTGGAAGGAATGATTTGGAAGCCATAAGGACAGAACCTGAAAGCAGTGTTGACCTGATAAAGCACATGTCACCGAATCATATTTCACTTTATCCTTTCATAAGTTGTATTAAATAAGCTTCTGTTATTTGGACAACGTGTTAGCTTATTTATGTAGGTATTGTAAAAACTCTGAATGTTAAAAACTTGTTACTCTAACTTAGTATAAGTAAGAAGCCTCACTGTCATCATCTGCCCTCCAGCTCCCCTGCATGTCGTACTCCTGTTCCAGGGTCAGTGGCTCTGAGGCGGTCAGCTGCTGCAGCTCAGGACACTTCATCCATTCATGATACCTGAAGAGTGTAAACAGGTGGGTAAGACACAGGGACTGGAGGTTTCTACAGCTTTAACGTAATCATGTATCCAGATGTCAAAGGACTGGAGCTGGTTCTGCTGTGCCAGTTAAAGAGACTTCAAACTGTCAAAGGCTCAAAAGCTTGTTTTGACAGCTGGGTCAGATGTGTCATCTGTCCTAAGTTATTTCTTCACCTTGTGCCAGCATGGACAAAAAGCTTTCAAATGCTCCATGACAAATGAGACTGTATGATATGATCGAAAGCTCCAGAAAGGCTACTATATGGAACCTGTGATGAGATTGTTTTCTCAACATTATTATTAGCTACAGACTTATTTAGAAGTCAAAATAAAAACCAATCCAACATGTTTAGTGATAGTGATAGTAAAGAAAGGCCATTCAAACACTCATCACTAAAGATATCAGCAGAGGAAAATAAAAGAGACAAACAGAGAGAATAACCAGCCTACACATTGGGCCCTACAGACAGAAGAGCTGCACGGTGAAGGCTTCGTGTGTGTAACAACACTGATCAGGTGTCAATGTCAACGTTACCTGGGCACGTGGTTTGCACATGCGCACTAGGGGGCGATGGCCGAACTCTTCTTCTTCTGATGTTTAATGGCGATTGGCAAACAGCTTTAGGTGTATTACCGCCACCGTCTAGCCTGGAATGTGGATCAAAACGGCCTACATCTAACTTTCTTTGACTTCCGCATTGAAATATCTGCCGTGCACATACTGACAAAGTAAAAATCACATGCAGTTACAAACACCTTTCATCTAGACACGCTTTTATTAGCAGATGGAAATCGCGTCAAGGCGTTTTACAAGTGATGAACATATTTATTAGCACTTTTATTCTATTATTTCACACACAGTGTGTGTGTGTGTGCGTGCATATGCATATGTGCGTCTGTGGATCTGCTCATGTTTGGTTGGTTAAATGGCTCTGCCCAATCTGTGTCACAGCTTCACCGGCTCCTGTGGAGTGTTGACCATGTCCATCCTGGGCTGCAGCTGAGGGCCTCTGGCATAGATGAAGGGCCCTAACACCAGCACTCCCAGTAGGACTGGAGGCTCTGGGAGAAAGATATATGAATGTCACTGTGTCGGTGTTTCAAATCTTATCTGCAGCAATATTAGGGGGGGTGCCCCATGTCTCCAATGGTACCCCTGCCCCCCTTGAAGGTCAAGCTAATTTAATTAAATTAAATTTTCTATATAGCGCCAGATCACAACATGGAAAAAGGCATGAAGAAGAAAGCGGTGAAAGGTGAGGTGAAAGTTAGTTAGGTCAAAATTTACTCAGGTTAAGCCCACCCATGCTTTTTACTCTATGTGCAATAAAACTTACACGAGTAAAAAAAAAAAAAAAGCCAGTCAGAGTAATTAATCAAAACACCATGACTCTGTGGCTAAGTGAAACCAGCACGGTGGCAACTCGGAGAAAGGTACCTGTAATTACTGGTGACATGGGGGTGTGGTACAGGTAAGGAAGGAGGTTAGAGAAGATGTGAGATCGGGTAAAAGGTAAGGAGGTTAACGGCCGGCAGGAGGCTTCAACAAAGTGATTGATCACCTCTATGTGAAAATATTCCATAAAAGTAAAGAAACACTGGTGAGTTACAAATAGCTGTTGACTTGTTTTTTTAATATGACTTATTCATTCACTTGCCAGAGATGGAAGATGAAAACAACCAAAGAAGATGAAGAATCACTTTTTGGACAGTTAAAGTATACGGGCTAGATAAAGGGGTGCCTGTGAAGGAGTAGGAGGAGGTAGAGAGAGAGAAAAGGAAGTAAAGAGGTGAGAGAAGACAAGACCCCCTGCTTTGTTTTTAAACGTCCTTTAAAACACTTTTAAAAAAGTGTTTTTTTTTTAAGACGACTGTGATCTCATCTCTTCTACCTCTTTTTAACTTATTTTAAAAACACTTTTAAAAAAACTTCTTCAAGTTTTTAACTAGTTTACAAGCTAATTCTTCAAGCATTTTCCAGTTTATACAGTAAATGTTTGAGTTCGTAAAGAAAAATGCAGACAGCTATTTTTTTGAATAGCCTAATATTCCTTTTTCTTCATTTTCTGTAAAGTAATAACGAATTTAATACATTTTTCTTCATGTTTTGATTTGGAATAGAATGTGCAGTCTTCCCAATGCATTTGCATGTATGGAAATAAAAGCTTTTTTATTTTGTGCTTTACTCACTTTTTTTTTTTTTTAAACATACTGCTATTATTTTGAACATGTATGTTTTAATCCTATCCTTTAATGTTTTAGGTTGATTGGTGTCTCTAAATTGCCCATAGGAGTGTGTGTGTGTGTGTGTGTGGTTGTTTGTCTATGTGTTAGCCCTGCGATGGATTGGCGACCTGTCCAGGGTGTACCCTGCCTTCGCCCGATTGCCGGCCGGGATTGGCTCCGGCCCCACCCGTGACCCCGCTCAGGGATTCAGCGGTAGAAAATGAATAGATGAATGTTTTAATCCTTTTTGATGAACCCACTTTGGATCCTAAGACAATCTTCCATCATATTCTTGTTACAAAAACACATAAAAATATTTCTTGCAGTAGCCATCTTGCAGTAGCTTGCATAGCCATTTAATGACAGTGTTTGCACATGGACAAAATTGTAGAAGAACCAGATCAACAAAGGCAGCTTTTTGCATGAAGATACCCTGACACAGAGCAGGAAAATAACCCACCTGTTTGTCTTGATGTAGTTTAGATGACAAGATAGCAGCTAAGAAGATGGGGCTCTAGTTCACTGTCAACTTAGTCTTTATTCACCTGATGATTGGGATTCTTGTTTACAGTGAAGTTAATGTTTTGATAAGTGATATTCCCTTAATAACAAACCATGTATACTTTATGTTACAGCTGACCTTGTTGCAAATTTAGCTGTTTCTGTATATTCCCATCCTTCTGTATTTCTAACATGCTAAATCTTTAGGCTCTGTCACTACTCTGAGAAGAGTTTTCATTAGAACCCCGATGCTACTGGATTTTAAAGGCCAATACATACATCCATATTTAAGAGTTAAAAATAGTCTGATATAGGATCCCATATTTATTTTTTAATATCAACCTGAGCTGACTAGCTAATCATCAGATAAAAATAACCAACAATATTTGACTAAGGTAATTTTTCATTCAAAAATAGTGAAATTTGGCACTTGTTTGCCTCAACTTCCTATTAGTTACCTGCCATTATACATGCTCATAATATATCTGTGATAAGATGAAATCCCCTCATACATCAGCCAGATTCTAGTTTTCATGACAGACACAGTATCGATTAGCTGGTTTGACTGATGTGAGCTTATAAAGCCAGAGGAGGTCACAGATGAGGCAAGTTCTACATTGACTCAGCCTTCGCTGCACATGCTCAGACTGCCAGGTGTAACGCTGGCTGTTGCACACCTCTGCCTCGACACTCCAGTGCAGCACAGACAGGGCACCCTGATATTTCACTGATGTAACCTGTGCTCCATGTCATGCAGTGAAACCCAAACCAGCTCCTGGTGCTGGTCACAGTGCAGGACATGGCTGACAGGCAAACATTTAAGACAATGATTTCAATTTAAAAAAAAAACAAAAACAAGCTGCAGCACAAAGAGGGTAAAAGAGTGACAACAATTCCATAGGAATTTAAGATTTTACCACATCTGCCCACCCTCCTTTGTCCATCTTTACCTCCCAGCACCATAAACTGTGGTGAGGGGATGCAGAGTTGTCTCCATTAATAAGATTCATGATTTCAGCAAATAAAAATAAAAAAATCCCAGGAATCACAGGTGACAGTGGGAAACCTGCAGTTTTGATGGAGGCAGAGGAATGTTTTTTTTTTTTTTTTTTTTGATACAGTCCAAAGATGAGATCCTTGTTGGCACAGATGACAGATTCTGCACCAGTTGTCTGATCACATCCTCCTGCTTTTTGGCCCAGGACAGGCCATCATTCATAGCAGCGCGGATTGGCACGCACATGGCTTCCTTCTGCAGGTCGGCCAGCTGGCAGGCAGCGGCAACTCCGACTAATCCCAGCAGCAGCAGGAGGAGGAGCTTGAACACCAGACCAACGAGAGAACGCCGAGGTTTAGGTGCTGACTCTACAACGACTTTATCTGCTGAAATGAAACAAAAGTGGGTGACATTAGAATGACTCCTTAAAGGATAAGTCTGGTCATTTTCTATATTAACAGTATTTTAAACACTCCCCATACAGAGAGTACAACCAGCAGTGATTTGCCTCTACTCACTGTTAATGTCCATTAGTCCTGGCTTACCTTATTCATCTGTGCCATAAACCTCCATTGTTGTTAGAAAATGATTAAAACATTTCAGTGAAACACATCACTGTACTGGCTGACACTGTTTCCTCATTACAAAACACCAGTCCCAGATTTATTTTATTTTTTTTAAATGTCTCAAGGCTCTGAACAGCCATAACATTTTACAAAATTTATAAGTTAGAGTCAAGGTACAAGATCTCTGGATATTCTTAAGGAGACTGGTGTTTTGTAATGAGGACATATTTCACTAATCGTGATTAAAAATCATGGCAGACTGTTCAGACCTTTATTCCCACCTGTTGCTTGTCCATTCTTCTTCTTCTTGTCCTCACTCTTCTTCTTCTGCTGTTGTTCCTGTGCAGCCAGGGCTGCCATCTGAGCCTTGTACTCTTTCCTCCTCTTTTCCTTCTCCTCTGCCTTCTCCCGTTTACGAGCCTCCTTCTCTCTGGCCTCCCGCTCCCTCTGCTTTGCCTCCCTCTTTTTCTCCAGCTCTGATTGAGGGATGAAGAATGTACTGTTATTGATATATTGATCCAAATGCAGTTGCTCAGCTCCTTTATCTCATCCCGAAGTTACTCTGAAGCTCAAATAAATAGATTTCATAAAACTCACCTTTTTCCCTCAGGAGGCGTTTCTCTCTTGCACGATCGACCTCATCCTGAATGGCTCTCATATGCTCCAGAACCTGTTAAAAAAAGATCTTTAGGTTTAGATGCTAATATTTAAATTACTTTGTGCAAACTGGCCGACTGATCATGCTCCATTTCTCTGTCACCTTAGAGGCACACTGTTTGCACTGCTTCTCATCCAGACAGTCTCCTGCTGCCTTGGCCAGACCAGGCTCCAGCGGGTTGTCCTTCAGATCCAACCACTTCAGACTCTGCATACAAAAACACACATGCAATGTCAAAGAAACTGTGTCAGACATCAAAATAAAAGCAGACATGCCACCTCACACACGATGTAAGCAAGGATATGATGGTCGGCTACATTAATATCTTATACCTGCAGAGTTCTAAAATGTAGTCTTTGTTAGCCATAGACTGACTTACTCTAGCAAACTGTCCAAATTGTTCTTTTACAAACTCCTGTGGTTTCACCTTTTTCAATTTAAAGAACTATTTTCAGAAAAGGACACCAGATGAACAACAGTAAGGTCAGTGATTTCTAATAAAAAAGAACAACAGGCAATAATCCAACTGATCCAAATTTTAAAAATCTAACAGTATTATACTGCATCTAAATTTGTGTTGCAAGAACCATCTATCTGAACAGCTTCATATACAGTCACCTAATAGGGCCTGGACATTAAACACACTGACACTGCAGCTTTATGTTACTAGGATCAGTACATACAGAACGAATATAACATGAGCAAACACTACTTGTGTCTGACGCTCACCCTGAGCTGGGAGAAGCTGATAGGCAGGGCAGTCAGCTTGTTGTTGTAAAGGTCCAGATGCTGAAGGCTGACCAGGTTCCCCAGGTCATCTGGCAGACAGGTCAGCTGGTTTTTACTCAGATCCACCTTCACCAGGTGGGTCAGGCTGCAAAACTCAGGCTGCATAAAATAACCCCAGACAAACAAATGAGCATCACTGTTTACTCTGATACAAAGAGAAGAAAAATACAAATTCTTCCACTTGAGAGACTGGGGCCAGAGAGTGTTTGACGTTTTTCCCTATTGCTGCTTGAAAAACAGTCAATATGATTAATTAAATACACTGAGAAGGTAATACAACTGAGGCCACAACATTTGATGAGGGATCACAAATACACATGACTATGTTTGTACTTACAGGAAGGGAGGTAATGTTGTTGCATGACAAGTCCACAACAGTTGCTTTGGGTAATAAAGCCTGTTGAGATAAATGATAGCATGAGCTAGTTAAATATTCTGTTAGTGCTGTGGTGGAAGAGGAATTCATATCCTTTACTTATGTAAAAGTAGCTTTTGTCTAAAAACAAACAAAACTGCTCCAATTAAAAGTCCTGCATTAACAGTCCTACTTGATAGGGATGGAGCAATGGGATTTTTTTCCAATCAATACAATTTGATGCACAATATGATCTGTATGAATAGATCCAATGACTATACAATTAAAAATTCAATGGCAACAATGTATAACTAGCTGTGTAATACTTGTAATTTATTCCTATCCCCCCCCCATTTTCTAGCACTGGTTTGATTATGTAAAGAACAACCAAATATACTGTTACTAGAGTACTTAAAGTATCCAAAGCAAAAAGTATTCATTTCGCATTAGAGTATTAAATTATTGAGACCCACCCACAAATGTTACTGGAAGATGTTTTAATTTTTAGATCTTATGCACACATAATATTTAAGCACACAGATTCCTATCCTGTTTAAAAAAAATTGGCATCTTTAAGACTGCAGGGGCTCTACTGTTTGTTTTATTGCAAAACAAGTTACAACATCGTTTTTCTTATTGGGGATCTGGCACAACTCCTTGCAGACCTTTGCACAGCTTAGTCTGATCAGATCAGCCACAATAACTGGAAACTCCTGAGTGAATAGATATGCAAGGACTCTATAATAGTAATAATGATGACAATGGTGCACCTTACGTTATTAGCTAATCATATATTTTGTATGTAAAATCAAAGTAGCTGTCAGATAATGCTGCAGAAGATGTCTAGCTGAAATGTACTATAAAGTGGCATAAATCGGACAAAGTACGAGTACAGCACTTGACCAAATATATTTAGATACTTTTCATTACTGTGTAAATGCATGTTTAACAATCATTTACAGTAATTCTAATTCTTAGAACACAGCCTTGAATGTTTCATAATATTTTCTCACACAAAGACAACCAACTTACCAGCTCTTTGACGGGGACCTCAGTAAGGTTACACAAGCTCAGGTCCACTTCATTGCCGCTGATTTTATCCTTCAGGTTCAACACTTTGCTGTTTTTACTCATTCTGGAGCCTCTGACTAAAACACGCAACAGCAGTTTACACAGTAGACACTTGTGACTAAACTAGCAGAGACCAGGAAAACCCGTTTTACAAGCGCTGCTCGCCTGTTACGAACGCTGAGACAACACAGTATATAACGGTGACACACGGCGCAAAGCAAAAGAGCAGTCCAGCTGGTAAATATGGAGAAAGTTTCTGGTAAAAGCTGTAGGATACTGCTGATATCAGTATTTTGGCAGCACTGACTGCCTCAATGAAAATCCACGTCACTGACTGAGCGACAGCGTGGAGACGTTGCAAGCGAACAGCGCCACCTGCAGCTCCGCAGGAAACTGAACATTTACCGGAACAAAGAAAAGATAGAATATTTTTAAACGCTTTATTGAACAAAAATGTGTACATCAGCTTAGGCACATTCAAGATTTTACAGCAGACATACTAGAGATTGGCAATAATTTTCTTCTTTTTCCTCTTCTTCTTCTTCGTCGTCGTCTTCTTCTTCATCTATTTTTGGCGGTTGGCAGGCAACTTTAGGTGCAGTACCGCCACCTTCTGAATCTAACTATCAAACTCATTAGCAATGATTTTATCATGTACACAAAGAAATAAAAATATTTGATGTAAAGATTAACAAAATTAATGTGTGCATACACTAAAGTTCATAAAATATTTGATGCATTCTTGTGACACAAATGTCTAAAATGAAGTTTGACTTTGTGTTATATCTTTTAATGAATGTAGAAGGGTTAAGGTTAACCCTAACCTTGGAATGACAGTTTCTTATTGGAAAGTCAATTTGAATGACCAACTGGAGATGTAAAAGGACCCCAGAGACCGAAAATAGCCACAAAGAAAGTGTGAGGTGTTCAAATGCAGTTTCCCTGAACACCAAGGAGCATTTTAGCGTCTTCCAGCTCATTGTTTTGGTTTACTCACACCACTCTAACACAAACGCAAGAAAAAGGAAATAAATAGGTTTAATTTTTATTGTTTATTTTTGAATTACAATGATCTATCAAAGCCAGAGAGCAGCACTGTTATTCTATTATACATAAAGCAGAATAATGCTTGAAATGTGAAAGCACACAGTGGCATGACATTACTAAAGACATAGAAAAACACATATCTTCAGAATACAACGTGTCTAAAATTGTTAAAGGGGAAACAGATTGTTTTTAGCCAACTACTCAGACTTTCATGATGTCTATGGCTCATGAAGCTTTTCAGTGCCACCTGGTGTCTCAGCTTGGACTTGGAAACAACAAATTATTGCTACTAACATCTACAAATATTTGCACATGTAAGTTGCATTTAGAAAAAGTGCATTAAAAACTTGCTTGCAGAGACAACATACAAATAATAGTGATCATAATAATTTCCCTTTGTCACTAGCCATTTGTGAGTTGTACTATTTGAAATGTAAAATTGATATGTTTTATTTTTAAATACTGCATGAAACAAATATCAGATGTGAATTACACAGCACTGGATTTCCACATTCCTAGAACAGAAGTAAATCTTAATAGAGATTAAAAAACATTTGTACAGGAACAAAAACAAATGGCATGAAATTAATTATACAAATGTCCTGGAACTTGTATGCTTCAGGATTATAAGTATGCATATGTTAATTTAGCATCGCAAACAACTTTGCTTGCACTTGCTTCATTTTTAGAGATTGTACTTTAAAACAACAATGCTTATTACAAACTAAACTGTAGTATTATTTGTTGTCAGTCAATACATACATTTTGTTTTGATATTGTCCTGCGGGATCGCACTGATCATCAACAATCAGTGTGTTGACTGTAGGGTCATGCAACCTTGTGTATACAATTTGTAATGTTTACAACTTGTGGGAAATAGAAGTCAGTCATGCAGTATGTTTCATTATTTACCACTATTAATCTTGTTCCTTAGTCCAACCAACAAAAATACAGAGTAAAAACAGACCAGCAGCTGTGACATAGAAGCCGAGGAACACTTTGTTGATTATTTTGGTCATTCTGGTCCAGTAGCCGGGCTTCTTCCCTTCTGCCTTCATACTGTTGAGGAGCAAAATCAGTGTTCTCACAGCCTCACCTGAGAGCTTTTCAGAGGATTCATTCTTCAGTTGGCAGTCACTATCCTGAAAAAAAGGGAGAGAAAAATGAGATTATGTTAACACACTCATTACATTCCACATCAACATCTTTGAGTCAAATGTATTCTGTTCTAGGTGTAGCCACGCAGATTTTTCAACCTTTGCCAATGCCAGCACTTTTTATAGGAACTTCTTCTTAAGAAGAAAACTTTATTTATGAAAAGCCTTTTTTTTAATTTTAAAAAAGTCCAACTTAATTCTCACCTCTTTGTCCACCGACCGCAGTTCTGATGGCATTTCACCAATCGAATCACTACAGGAACTTTCATTGTGCCTCCGTTTATTAACTTCTGGAAAGATGCGCCAGACACAAAACGTGTTAGCACACATTCAAAATAATGCAAATGTGTCTGTTTCACAGTATTCAAAAATAACTAGAGGTGGATTTCAAGGCAACAACAAACTTCTATGCTGCTTCACAAACTGATCAGATGTCTGAATGATCATCTGAGATTGTAAACATATATAGAAACTTCTTTATCCGTTTTGTTGACTCCCACCTAAACAGTTGAGGAAGTTGGCTGGTGAATCCCCACAGTTCACATCTAGGCCGATGTGTTCATTGTCATCTTGGGATGCAGAGTCCTTTTCTATCAGATACATCACCACGATTGTCTCCACAAGACTGAGCATCATCATTGCAAACATCCCAATGCAGTAGATCGCTGAAGTGAGAAGGTGTTTTATATTAGTGTGGACAAATGACTACTAACTGAGTCAGTGTGCTCCTGACTGAGTGCAGTCCAATAAAAGCAAGGCTGCGAGTTTCTTTACCTACAAGTGGAATCTTGTCTGACGAGGAAGGCAGGATTTCATTCAGAATAAGCTGCATCACAGTGACAGCAAGCAGCACAGTAACCTTGAAGCTGAGCTTCTCGCCCCCGCTGTCAGAGATCAGGAAGGAGACCAAGTCCAGACACAAGAAGAACAGGATAGGCAGCAAAAAGTTGACGACATAGAGAGCCGACCTCCTTTTCATGGTGATCTATGAAATTATATTTAAGGTTCAGGTGGCTGACTTATAATACAGTTGACAAAGATTAAACTGGAACAACTGTAGGAATTACAGATAAGTAAGACGCAGGTTTCAACAACAAAGTAATCTGCCCCAATCTCTTTCTGCCTCCAGTGGCAAAAGCAGCACTCAAATCATTTTCTTAGATAAAAGAAAGTGTAAGGGCTGAAATCCTACATTCAGAATTTTGCTCAAGGAAACAAAAAGTAGCAGTGAATATATACTGGAAACCAAATATGTTTATACATTATACAGTATGTTTTCACATTTTCAGATCAGTGAAAGCAAAAAAAGTAAAAAAGAGGAAACTGATAAAACTGTAACTTTACAGCTCTGTGTCTGCATCCAGAAATACTTACAGTGTAAATGACAAAACTTTGGTTAAAGCCATCCATTTCAATACTTTTGTTGCTGACATTCATGCTGATGAACAGCCACTCGCTCTGGGTCCGCATTACTTCGCGTGAGTCCTCTGTGGCCTCTGCGGAGTTAACGAAGGGCTTGAGCTCGAGTTCCTTGACTGAAGAAAAACATAAAACTGCAAGGTTTCTTTTCAGATTTACAAAAAAGACTATATCTGGAAATGTGTGCTCATGTAACAATAAATTGTAAAGTAATTAAAGCAAGAGCATGAAATCAGAGATCGTAACACATGAACATTAAACACAACATATTACAGGCTCACCACTGTGTACAATAGATGTGAAGGTGAGGGTACAGCGCTGAATGTCAAAGGGGAATTTATAGGTTTCCATGGTGCACGTGCTGACCAACACCTGGTCGTTTGCAACTTTGACAGTACCGTTATTTGTAATAATTAGATAAGGAGAAGGGGGAGCCTTGTCCCTCTCTGTCCTGTATAAGAACACACAGACAGTTTCATACATTGTATTATCTGTTATACTATGCAACATAATCAAAAATACACTGACGTATGTAACTGCAGTATCTCTGTTGGAGGCATTTATTGCCTGCCATAAATTGCATGTACTGTCCTGATCTCTGCTATCACATCAAACACAAACTTGGTTGAGTGGATGATGGTTAGGCATTTCAGATATTCAAGTCATTAAGTGAAAACATGATTAAAATAATCTAAATTCTTCAGTTTCCATTTGTTTTTTAACATGATGCCTTCACCAGTTACCGTTGTGGCTGTGCTGTTGGTTGATCTGTGAGTGTGAGTGTGAGTGCAAACACTTACATCTCCTCAATAGTGATATCTGGCTTCCACATCACTTCACTAGGAACAGACACAGACTTAATACTGCAAAATTGATCAGGATCCCAATAAATGTAGTCATTATGCCACTCCTACAGAGGACAACAAGGAGAACAACGCATTTAAAGAAAAGAAATTTGGGTGGTAGGAAAAAATGTCCTTCTTCCTGAGAGAGAACTCACCATGGTAATCCAAACGTAAGGAACAAATTGCTGGTCCTTCTCTTTCTATGACCAAAAAAACAAAAGTGAAAATCCTCCCACACAGACAACCTGGCAAGTGTTTGAAAACTGATTTTAATACAAGTTATGTCAAGTTCACAAAAAGCAGAGTTCATATGACAAAGTTTTGAGCAGACAAATATGAAAGCAGAACCCCCATCAAAACATCTGAGGGCACACAATCCACATTTCAAGCACTATTCAGTTTACAACTCAGCTAGTGCTCAGAAATTGTTTTGTGCACTTTCAAATATTTTGTCATTGACAGATTTCCACACAAAACCCAGTGGAGAAATCTGAGAGCACAGGCTCAGAAACAAGCAGGTTCTCACATTTGATTCTGCACTTACAAATATGTACCTACATTTTCTCAAATACTGAGCTGGCAATCTGAGACACCCTTAAATGTTTTGGCAGGGATGTATCTATAGACAACCCAGTCGCACTGTGAGAATGTGCCACATCTCTTTGAAGAAGAAGAAGCAGCAGCTTTATTTTATTGTGACATGTACAACGAAATTTTGTTTGGAGCTGTAGAGGCCCCGGGCCGCTGTCCAGTCTCTTGCCCAAGGACACTTCGACATGTGGACTGCAGGCACTGAGATTCAAACCTTCAACTTTTCAGTTGGGAGACCACTGCTCTACCCACCACTATCGTTCTACCCACAGCACCGAATTTAGCTTTCCACTAAACTAATCAAACTAATCTGGCAAATAAACACAAATGGAACCAAAACATATAACTGGACAGAGTGATAGTAATTTTGTGCTTACCTCTTACCACCTCTATAATGGCCATGACCATGGAGGCTTACTGAACAAACTGATGTGAGGTTAAATTAATCAGTGCTTCATAAATGGTCACATGCTGCAGCTGTAAACACCAAGAACTTATCATATGCTCCTTCCAGCTGATAAAATGTTATTTTGTGATGTCATGCTACATGAGCAAACAGAAAAATGGCATCAGTAAATCTCCTCAACAAAGGACAGAATAATTATTGTTTTAAGCTATAAGTAATCACTTACTATGTCTAGAATGGCATAGAGCTTTACATCCAGGAATACGTGGGTGGTCTTTGTGTGGTTATCAACTGGCCGGGACATGTAGAACAGTTGATTATTTCTGGTCAAGTCCAAGTGCTTTAAAACAGCTTGATAACTGCAGTTGCCCACAGAGGACGCCCCATCTACAGTGGAAACACCAGGACACATTCAGGAAGGAAGTCAATATAGAAACATGATAGTGATGATCATATTCTTTGTTTTGCCTTTAAATTAGACCTTTCGAGCACCTTCTGTATGTCTGCCCTATATGTTCTCAGTTGTCATAAAAAAATCAGTGTTTACAGTCAGTATGGAAAGTATTCAGGCCCTTTTCTTCATTTTATGTTTCAGACTCATCTTAAAATGAACTCTGTTGAATTTTTTTTCTCATCAATCTACACACAATAGTCTAAGTGAAAACAGGTTTTTGGAGTGTTTTTTACACACAATACTCTGTAAGTGAAAATAAGTTTTTGGAGTGTTTTGTAAATTTATTAAGAATAAAAGCTTGAAAAATTCAATTTACATATCTATTCACACCCTTTGTTATGACACTAGCAGTGGAGCCCTGGTGCATCCTATTCCTATCAGTGGTCATTGAGATGTCTCTAAAGCTTGAGTCCACCTGTGCCTAATTTAATGCTACTGGATATAATTAGGAAAGGCACACAGCTGTCTATATTAGGTTTCATAGTTGATGGTGTATGTCAGAGTTAAAAACAAAGCCATGAGGTTGAGAGAATTGTCCATAGCCCTGAAAGACAAGACTGGATCAAAACCCAGATCAAGAAGGATATAAGAAAATTTCAAAATACTTACCCAAACTATGATCTCAACCTAACTATGTTGTCACATCATAGAAGGATTATTTTGCTATTTTACAACAGTGATTTTTAACAGTTTGTCTGTGGCATATCTACTCTAGAGGTGCTAGCCTGTTTCAGAAAAAGGTCCCATGGGTCAAATGAGAGCGTAGGGACAAATGATCTGCATGGTTGAGTGGGGGACCTTTTCCTCTGGCACCATCATCAGGTCAGCATTTTAATTTGTCCAACACTTGCCCCTGCAAAACCGACGACACTCCCATCAGCCTCAGCTAGATTTTGTGTCGCGTGCTAATCAGCAAATATTAGCATGTCAACTCAGTACACTAATATGTTGAACATGGTAAACATCATACCTGCACAACATCATCACCACTGTGGGTACATTACAGTTTTTCACAATTGCTAAAACAATAAACTCCATTCTCTGAACCAAATTCTCAATAGCCTAAACCAATTTGTCGAATAAATCACTCTTTCTGCAAAACCTTAAACAAGTTCAGGCACTTAGACTCTGTTAACACATCTCATGCACTCTTTTTGCTGAACTCCAAACACATTCCCACTAAAACACAATTCGCACTGTGATGACCTGCTGGCTCTACCACTTCAAACACACACCTCATGAAAAAGTGCACTGATGACACGGGTACATCCATCAACTATGGATAACAATATGAGAGGTAAAGGAATATGAGGTGTTGGAAAAAAGGATGACGAAGAGTAAGACCAGGAACAGAATATGGTCCTTTCTCCATAAAGCACTGTCCTCAACCCAACAAAAGAGTTTTGCTTTGCATGGTGGTAGAAAGTCTATGACTGAAACCCATATACCAGGGAAAATCTCTTACAGGCAATGGAACTGGCCTGTGGTGACATAAAGGTGCAGTCTTGTCAAGGATGGATCCGCCACACCAGAGGGTTTTTTTGCCCGTTGCCTGGCAAGGGACAACATTGCCTGTGACATAAATGAAGCCCTCTGGCCAGGCCCAGCTCAAAGACGTGATCCTGAGGCAGAATAATCTTTCTGATGTGTTTTTCTTCTTCTTCTATTTTGATCGTAACATGGTTTTTGGTAAATTCACTATACAATAAACTTTTTTTGTTGTAACTACATGTCCTGGATGCTGTGTTCTCCTTTTTTTGATGTAGTGTCTAATGACTGAGCTGTAGTGTGTATATGATTGACTCATTTGTGTATGATCTGAAAGCATTGTTCAAAATTTGAGTGCTGGTGACATGGTTTGGAAGCAGTTGCTAGATTTTGTCAGACGAGTCAGAGGTTTTGTGAATTTAGTTTGAGTATTTGGATTTGTGTTTAAGGTTTTGAGAAAATGAGTGGTGGTTTCAAGAAACGTGTATTAGCAATTCAGAAAAACTGTAATATAAGTACATCAGCATTTAGTTCAAAACCGTATTTAGACTCTTAATCTGGTTTCTCATAAACATCTGTGCTGATAGGCAGAGATTGTGGTCACAGAAAAGCCATTATTGGAGATGGATAGCGATATGGATCAGTTCACCTACTCAACCAATAAATCACTTCTAGAGTGCGCCTTGCAGTCCTTTAAGTAGGCTCTTAAGTTTGAAATCCACCCACAAACGTTCACTCTGCTGCATTAGCAGAGCTGTTAAAGGCTATTATCATTTGCAGTTGGATTTATTACATTAGACTGCATTATACTAGATAGGTGTGCCTAATTATTATGGTTTGTCCCATTCACCAGAAGGGTGAGGGAGAATTGAGGTAGGACTCAAGAGTGTAGACCCAGCTGCTAGTAAAAAAAAAATTAATTAAGGAGCACAGAGTAACTGAGTCGACGTATAGTAAAATAACCAGGGTAGGGCAGGGATGGCTGAGGAGACTAGGACGAGGACAAGGTGTCATGATTCGGTTCCGCTGTTTCCGGTCAGGCTTTTATTTTCACATCACTTCCTGTTTTGTTTCACCTCAGTTTTGGCCCTTTTATTTAATCATCATTAGTTCACCTGTTCCTTATTGTTTGCACCTGTTTTTTGTTTCCTTTTAGGCAGCGTCCTCCCACAGGACGCTGCCAGATTGTTCTAGACCCCAGCTCTGACTTTCCAGCATTCTTATCTTGCCTGATTCTCCGTGTCTGACCTCCGAT